AAAAAAAAAAAAAAGGAAAAGTATTCAATTCGCAACAAGCTGTGGAAAATGCCCTTTGTGATTTCATTGATGCACATTCTCCCGCCTTCACTGCTGCCACTTAGAGGGTACAGCTGTGTTGATGGTTTAGGCGCACACCTTGATAAAGCACACTGCTGCTTGGTTGAAGTATAATAATCTACACTTTCGATCTGAAATCGGAAATTTCATATTTTATGAAATAATGACCTAATATTTAAGTTTTATGACCTAATATTAAAGTTTTATTTTATGACCTAATATTTAAGTTTAGGATATTACCTACAGATGTTGAACTAATATGATAGATGAAACAGAAAAGGTCAATTTAAAACAAGTCTTGGTCTTATTCCATGGGTTTCTCTCTCTTCTCTCTCTCTTTTTTTTTTTTTTATTAAAGGAAGGACTACGGCCAGGAGATACAACCAGCACTTTCTGTGGTACTCCTAATTACATTGCTCCTGAAATTTTGAGAGGAGAAGATTATGGTAATGAATGTGTAATCAGTTGCATTATAGTATACTAACACAGTTAGTTTATTTATATACACTTTTTTGATTCTGTTGAAACTTAGATAAAGATTCCCAGACTTTGAAATCAGAGACAGTGTCTGGGGCACAGATTTGGATAATACCTACTCAGTGGCAAACTCTAAATAGGGGTGCACTGTTCCAAGCAGTTTATGTGCATGAGCTAAGTTAATCCTCTTAACCCTATTAGGTAAGTTCTGTTAATTCCCATTTTACAGGTGAGGAAACTCATACAGAGTCAGAATAACTTGCCCAAGGTCACACAGCTAGAAAGCGGAGAGTAGGGCTTCAGGGCAGCAGCTGCCTGGCTCCAGAGTCCTGACCACGGAAGGTGGATCAGATTTCCTGGGATGTTTCTCAGGAAGATGGAGGAAAGATTGATCCTCAGGCACTGGAAGATGCATTTGTTTTAAGAAAGTATCTGGCCCTCTGCTCTCAGCAGATGTGAAGGAGGGAACATCTGAAAGTTGCTCACAGTCTGGATCCAAAACCCTTCCAAGGTTGTTAGTAAGCCAGCAGAAGATCCAGTTTCAGACCAGGGAGATGGTTCTTAAATACAATTTAATTACATACTTAACATATTAGATACCGGGCTTGAGTTTAAAGTTAAATGTATTTGGAAACAGAAACATTCTAAGTCGTCTTTGAGGTTCCTGCCCTCGTAGGAAAGTAAAGCTCACTGTACAGCCCAGTACCTGTCCTGGAATGCACAGTGCATTAGAGTCTGCATTTTCATTATGTGATAAAACGGGTCTCATTACTGACTTTCAGGAACGTCAAGTGTACGACTTACTGCTTTGAAATTCCCTTCTGCAGGTTTCAGTGTGGACTGGTGGGCTCTTGGCGTGCTGATGTTTGAGATGATGGCGGGGCGGTCTCCATTTGATATTGTTGGGAGCTCTGACAATCCTGACCAGAACACAGAGGATTATCTCTTCCAGGGTAATTCTCCATGTTTTACAGAGTCTCTGTGCGTCCCTGTTACAGAGTACCAGTGAGGTATTGCTTTGAGTAAGAAAAACAAGAGTGGTCTGGGTAATACACTCCGGACTCCTGACTTCATGCATGACGGTTTTTTGTGTGTGTTTGTTTTTGTTTGTTTTTAGACAGAGTCTTGCTCTGTCACGCAGGCTGGAGTGCAGTGGCAGGATCATACTAACAGTTACTGCAGCTCCAGCTCCTGGGCCCAAGTTATCCTCTGGCCTCAGCGTCCCATAGTAGCTGGGACTACAGGTGTACACCCCCACACCTTGCTAATTTTTCTTTGTTTTGTCAAGATGGGGATCTCACTATGTTGCCCAGGCTATTCTTGAACTTGTGGGATGAAGAGATTTTCCCACCTTGGTCTCCCAAAGTTCTCAGATTGCAGGCATGAGCCACACACCCAGCCTTGATTTTCTTTTTTTAATGCCTCCTTTCTCCTCTACAGTCTCAGTCCTGTTCTTGTTACTGCCTCAGAGTCACAACAAAGAGGTTCCTTCATATTACACATCACAGAGCTCAGAGGAGCTAATCCTGTGGGTAGATAGGACATTCTTTGCATGCAGGCCTGAGGCTGGGGGCATCAATTTAAGAATGGTATAGGGGGCAGAGTAGAGCGCCAGGAATACATAAGAGGGATCAGCAAATGGGGAAAAGGGCCCATGTTGGGGAACACAAAGACTTGACAGAAATAAGCAGACAAGGGGCCGGGCTTGGTGGCCCAGGCCTGTGGTCCCAGCACTCTGAGAGCTGCGAGGTGGGTGGATCACCTGAGCTCAGTCAAGAGTTCAAGACCACCGTGCACCATGGTGAGACTCTGTTGCTACTAAAAATAAACGTGGCTCAGTGCCAGTAGCTCAGTGAATAGGGCACCGGCCACATATACCGGGGCTGGCAGGTTCAAACCCGGCTCGGGCCTGCTAAACAATAATACAAAAAATAGCAGGGCTTTGTGGCAGGCACCTATAGTCCCAGCTACTTGGGAGGCTGAGGCAAGAGAATCACTTGTGCTCAAGAGTTTGAGGTTGCTGTGAGCTGTGATGCCCTGGTACTCTATCCAGGGCAACAGCTTGAGACTCTGGCTCAAAAAAAAAAAAAAAAGCCAGGTGTTTGGGCAGGCACCTGTAGTCCCAGGTACTCAGAAGGCTGAGGCAGGAGGATCGCTTAAGCCCAGGAGTTCATCGTTTCTATGAGCGACAATGATGCCATGGCACTCTACCCAGTGCAAAGAGTAAGACTCTGTCTCAAAAAAAGAATTATTAAAGCCGCTATAGAGTATGAATAGGCATTTCACATAATAGAAAACTCAGTGGCCATGAAATTATATGTGAAAAGCCGTTTGGTCTCGCTGATAAGCAGGGGAATATACATGAAAATATTAATGAGTGATCATTTCATAGCAATACATTTGACTAAAATTTTGAACCAATGTAACTGACCAATAAAAGGTGCTAATACCAGGCTGGACGTGGAGCCCTAAGGACTCTCAGATTGCATGAGAGTGAGTGTTAGCACAGCAGCTCTGGGGAGTGTGCTTGCAGTTCTCAAAGTCAGATATTACATAGGCCAAGCATTTTACAAAAACAACCTCATCACAGTCACGAAGCAGGTATTGTTTTTATTCCTGTTTCACAGGTGTGGAGCCCGGCTCACAGTCAGGCAGTCAGAAAACAAAGTGTGTGCACATGGGGGGCTCAGGCAGGAGCTTCTGTTGTATGTGTAAATCTCAGTTTTTATCTCCTGCGATGCCTTCAGTATGTCACTGTGAAAATGAGAACATTAAAGCCATACAAAAGGTGAACATGATGCCATAATTTTATCTTTACAGTTATTTTGGAAAAACAAATTCGCATACCACGTTCTCTGTCTGTAAAAGCTGCAAGTGTCCTGAAGAGTTTTCTCAACAAGGTATAAGTTATGTCTAGAAATCTGTGATTTGTCTCTCTATAAATCAAACTGGCAAGTAGAGATTCAGGCAAGATGAAATTCCAAGACAGCAGGATGTATAACTTTTTCAATCTGGAATTTGTGTAAAGTTCTAAACCAAAGAGTAATTGACAGCATTGTAAATTCCATTTTGCCAGTATAATTCACTCCCCAGCCAAACGATGTTTTTAATGTAAATGATACTATATTCTCAATTAAGGGAAAATGGAATCTTTGGGGTTAGCCACAATTGTAGTTTCCGCTCTATTTTTTCAACACTATTTTTCTGTTTTTTCTTTATCATTACCCACGTAATCTGTCTGTGCCATATACTTTTTGAGCCCTTAGGTAATAGTGTTTCCTACAGATTTCTGATGTCAAAAAAAAAGCTATAATTACATAAAAGCCAGAAGAGATGAAATGCTATCTTCATCTCTTAAAAATCTGACCTTTTCTCCTTTATGAAAGGGACCCACTGCCAGCTCCCTTTGGAAGTGCTCTAGACTTCTGCTCTTTCCAAGTGAAATTTCTTTTTGTGACGCTGAAAAGACGTCTGAACATCATTCAGTAATTGCAGCTGTTAATCAGGGAAGAGCTTTAGGGTCTAAGACTGTCGTGGTGATGGTGAATTCTACTTAACAGGGCAGAAAGGCTGATGTTTCTTTACTTTCTAAGGTAAATAGGTGACATGAGGGTGAGTTACAATAAAGTAAGAATTTGAAGCTTGTTTTAAATGAGTACTTTGTGTGAGGAGAGATTTAAACTTGAAACCTAATCTTTCACATAGTGAACAGAAGGCAAGAGGTGTCGGTAGGCAGAATAGGATGCCGCTTGCCAGGAAGGAAAAGGGGGACGTTCTCATTCATGGGAACGTCTAGAGCCAAGACTTATAAAAGCTGCGTGTTCCTTCCCGGCCTGGTGGTTCAGGTGATGCATGTAATCGTGGCATGTAATTGCCGTAATTGGGAAATAGGGCTTTTAAGTTGAGCTGGAAACAAACTGTCAGGTGTGGGGCTTTGCGTGTTTTGACTCTCACTCAGGCCCGTGCAGAAGAAACAGCAGGTGCCACCCAAGTGCTCTGCTGCTCTCGTTCCTTCTCATTTTAATTTAGCAGGGAGTGGCGACAGGTAGGTTTTAAGGATGTGATAGGTGCAGAAAGACATGAGGAAATCCCCTGTCTCAAGGTTCCAGTACCTCAGTTTGGCCTACAGGGGGGGTGCTTTCTAGAAACAGAAGGTAGAACATTTCATTAGCTTCAGAAATGAAGGTATCATGTAATCGGCACAAAGCACAGGTTACAAAGCTGATTTATTTTAAAGTATGGCATTTACCCAATTCTTGAAACATTTCTTTCACTATAGGACCCAAAGGAACGATTGGGTTGTCATCCTCAAACAGGATTTGCTGATATTCAGGGACACCCATTCTTCCGAAACGTTGACTGGGACATGGTATGTAAATTTGTTTTCTATATTAGGCTTCCATTTAATATCTTGTTTTTAAAAACTGGCATATTACAGTTTTAAAAACTTAGAGCCACTCTCTAGAGTGCTTCAAAAAAAAGAAAAGAAACAGGCCAGTTGCAGTGTCCCATGCCTGTAATCCTAGCACACTGGGAGGCTGAAGAGGGTAGATGGCTTAAGCTCACGAGTTTGAGACCAGCCTGAGCAAGACCAAGACCCTGTCTCTAAAAACTAGCTGGGCGTGGTGGGCACCTGTACTCCCTGCTACTAGGGAGGCTGAGGCAAGAGGTTCACTTGAGCCCAAGAGTTTGAGCTGCTGTGAGCTATGACACCATGACGCTCTACCCAGGATCACAGAGGGAGACTCTGTCCCCAAAACAAAAAAGAACAACAACAAAAAAAAAGAAAGAGAAAGAATACGAGCTCCTTGGAGCAGGTTGCAGTGTTGCTCTTGTCAGTGTTCATCAAGGAACACAGCGCCTGGAGACGCACTTTGGACAGGGAAACGTGTGGGGGAACTTCCCTGAGAACACAGACTCCAGCTGTTACCCGGTGTGTCTTTTTAGATGGAGCAGAAGCAGGTCGTACCTCCCTTCAAACCGAATATTTCTGGGGAATTTGGTTTGGACAACTTTGATTCTCAGTTTACGAATGAACCTGTCCAGCTCACTCCAGATGACGAGTAAGTAATTCTGTGCTGAGTTACTTGTAAAGTTCTTTGAAAACTCCATTTTTAGCAGCTACATAATGTCTTGTTTTCAGACATTATGTAGTTATAATGCATGTAATCATTGAGTTACTGGCTATTACACTGTTAGAGGTTTTAACGGTAACTACCATTAACTTCTCCCTTGCTCTGCACACATCATCTCTAATTCTTGCAGCAGCTTTTTTAACCCCTTGCAATTTAACCTGCTCCTTTAGCTTCTGGAGGGTGAATTGGTGTCATAGTTTCCAAGTTGTAAAGCATTTTTGGCCTGTCCTCATCAGCCTTATGCGGCACTACCTGTCCTGGTTCTGCTTCCCGTTGGCAGCCCTGGTCTGCCTTGACCCCCTGCGCCTGAGCCCAAGAGGCCCCTACTCTGCCCTGTACAGCCTGTGCCATGGAGATTTCGGTCAGCCCGCCCCGTGGGTGCAGCTATTTAGGTGACTCCCTGCCAACTTGGTGAATCATCACTGAGGCGAAGGCACTGCGCTGAGTACTAGATACTCTAAGATACTCCAAGGCTTGAGGATGGTGTACTCAGTACTCTAAGGCTTAGCTTAGTGGCTAAGCTGAGACTGCCCAAAATCTTCTCTGCTGCTGAAGGAGACGTGCACCAAGTCATCATCTCCAACAGCACTGTGCATGAGGAACAACACTGGATTTAATCAAAAGAGAAGAGTTTGAGTTTGGTGCCACCACTTCCAAGCTGGGCAACCCTGGAAATGAATTGCATCGTCTCCCTGAGCCCCTGCCTCCCTGTATTCCCACCTTATAAGGTTGCTGTGAAGAGTGAGCTGGGCCAGGCATGGGGCCTCACGCCTGTAATCCCAGTGCTGTGGGAGGCTTAGGTGGGAGGATTGCTCAAGCTCAGGAGTTCGAGACTTGTGTGAGAGTGGGACCCTGACCCAATAAAAAAAAAAGAGAGAGAGAGAGAAACCCAGCCAGATGCTCTAGCAAACTCCCGTAATCCCAGTAGTTTTGGGAGGCTGAGGCAGGAGGATGCCCACAGCCCTAGTCTGAAGTTGCAATGAGTGATGACGCCACTGCACTTGGCTCAGGCCGTAGGGCGGAACTGTGCTCAGCAATACCAGAATGAAAGTGAGCTGATTGCTGAAGCACTGGGCCTGCCCTCTTCTCTCCAGAGCTGACCTCAGCCTGTCACCGTCCCCCAGCCTGTCAGGTGGGACATCCCCCCTGTCGTCTTCCCAGCTCCCGTGTCTGCTCCAGCTCTGGCACGTTCTCTTGTCACTCAGTCTCACAGTGTCGCTCACTGCTGACTCCTCCTCATCCTTAACAGACCGTGTTATTCCTGCAGGTGCCAAGTCTTGGTCTAAATTTTTCTTCACTCATCATTTGAGTCCAGTCCTTTTCTCTACCCATTGCTGTAACCCTGGTTTGTTCCCAGTCAGACACACCTGGAGTGTTGTGTCGGCCTTTCCTGGATCCCCTTATGCCTGTACTTTGCAGCCCGCCCTGTACACCTGGCACAGCACCCTCCAGCTCTGGACCCTCTAATCACACCCCAGTCACTGCTGCAGTGCCCTCTCGGCTGGCCCCTACAGCCCCCATCTGCTCCCCCTGACTGTCCAGCTGCCCCCCACTGTGCACTATGGTTGACCAGCCTCAGTCACCACCACCTTTCTGCCTCTGCTCACTCATCCCTGCGTTTTACTTATTGAAATCTTCCTGTTATTTCTGCACTACCAGAATCCAGCCAGATCTTGGGAGAATCCAGGTGAAACTCCCTGTGTAAACATCGCCATTTCTCTGATCTGGCCGTCACCTTCCTGTCATCAGCATCTGCCCTCTGACACCCCCTTCCTGTGTTCTGCCCTGATAACTGACACTCGTCCCGAGACCAGGCACAGTGTCCCGTGTTCTCGCTCATTAAGTGTTTGTGGAGTGGGCACTGACTCCTTCCTCGATTTCTCCACCTAGGAGTCTCCCCTTTCTTGAGAGTGGTTAGAAAATGACGTAGCTTTTATTGTGTATGAAATTCAGCAGGTGTTGTGTTTTCTTGGGTTGAATACCTGGTGGCACCATTCACTCTTCCTGTGTGCTGCACCAGAAGCCTCGGGTGGCAGAGTATGGCCTCCCACCAAGGAGACCGCCACCTCCCTGGGTGCTGCTCTCCTCATCTGGCTCTCAGGGCACTCGGCCCCCTGCCTTCCTGGACCAGCTTCTGGGCCTTCTCGCCGCCACCTCTCTGGGCTCTGCCCTCCTTACTCAGCCTCTCTCCTTCCCCGGGCCAGCTTCTGGGCCTTCATGCCGCCTTCCTTCTGACTGCTAAGTCCAGAGCTAATTCAGACCTGGATGCTTACTCTAGTTACAGATTAACTAGATTGGGGACAGTTTGTGCCTTTCTTATTCCCTGTTTTCAGCTTTAAACCACCTTTTGGCTCTAAACTTACTTGTGGGATTATTAGTCTTTTTTGGTTTTCAGCACTCTATTCTTGATCTTTTAGAACAGCGGTTCTCAACCTGTTAACAAAACAATGAAAATATATCGCAGCATTAGGAAGGTTGAGAACCACTGTTCTAAAAACGTGGGATTAATCTAAGAACTTGCAGGGTTTTTTTTTT